TATATATATATATATATATATAACTTCTTGATAGAAATTAGGAAAAACGACCCATATGGATTTAATATTTTTCCAACCTTGCATGCTGCCCCACTTTAGCCGTGTCCAAATGCAAATATGGTTAATCCCAACCTGATTCGAGAGTGCCTCGATGCCTTCCTACCTGCATATTCTGCCTGCAAAGGCAGTATTTTTTCGGACACAGCTACTGTGCATCTGTGTGATATCCTGAGAGACTGAACTCCATTTAAGAGACTCCTGGGGAAAGCCGTTTATGCATAAGCAGTCTCTATCACACTCACCACATAAACACCAACATCCTTTCTTACACTCATTTGGACACAGATCTGGTACGTGTGCTCACACTCTTGTGCACATAAGAATCAAAACTAAAAAAATAATACCCAAACAGAACCTAAGAACACACAAAAAATAAGATCAAAATAACAAAATAAAAATAATTAAAGGATGGACATAAGGCTCATGTCCGAGATGCACACAAACACACTCACCCATCTTTCCGTCCTCTACAAAGAGCAGGCTGAGGGGATATTGGCAGCTGAAGTAGAACACGTCAATGTTATTCTTCACAGCTACCTGAAACATTGAAAAAGAGAGAGGAAAACACATTACGACTGTGATTTAAGACATTGTGGCTATGGACAAGGCTCTCAAATCCTGTTAAGAGCAGACGGAATTCAGTCCACAATTTCAGCCAAAATAAATGGGCCTCTTTCTCCAGTGCTTTCAAAGAATGGCATACACACACACACACACACACACACACACACACATAAACCAGATGATAGTAGGGAAATATGGCCCTTTGATGACCTCTTTCTTTGACATTTTGCTTCTCTCTCTCTCTCTCTTCATTCTTTTGTTTAAGATCCTCTGTGGCTTTGCAAAGGTTGGGTTCAGCTCCTGTGCGTGGAGTTCATGTTTGCACGCCAGTATGTGAACTTCAAACATGCACAAATGCCTCAAAGGCAGTGCCTCACTAAGAGGACGGACGATGCTGACAGTTTGAGAAAACAGAGTGAGTGTATCTGTCTTGGATAATCAGACTCAAAAGCACCCATCCAAATGAATCAGATATATTATATATTATCTATATTATTTTTATTGTATAAATGTTAAAGGTTGAGGTTTCTTGCCTCAAAAAACAACAATTTAGTTTTTCATTGGAATGAATGTTAAAATTCAGCAAGAAATAAAAAAAATCTGTCCAAAAAAAGTGCTTAAATCAAATACAACCAATCATTAATTTGTTTTTCCATTCTGTGCATTTTTAAGTTCGTAGCTGAAATAAACACACACACCAAATTTTCGTCTGATTATGGATGTAAATCTTTTGAGAGCATGAGGAATTGAAAGGCACCATGGGGAGCTTTTATGAAAGCTGACAGCAGGTGCACAGCATCGATCAGAATAGAGACTACACAGCCTCAGAGAGGGACAGGCAGTTCCACATACACATCCAGACCTGCTACCCTCCACTTCTGAATAATTCATCCAGCCAAACTGCTCTGAGTTGCACATACCGACTTCATCCCACCCTTACTTGTCTAACTGCAGTTAGAAATACTATATAGAACCACCAGGCAAAATAATATGAAGAAAGACATTGTACTGATGATATCAGATGTGAAATGTGAAATCAGAAATCAATCAAACTTTTCATTTTGTGTTATTGTCAAGAACTGAACCAATCATGATATATTAGAATCGGTTTCTCTTCTGTTCAGATTTATCTACAGTATTATTGGCCTTGCGAATAATGACGATGAGTCAAGCTACAGAAAAAAACGTCTTTCATTCAGTCTATGAGTAACATTCACTTCCTGTGATGCCACTGTAATAAACAACTGATCTATTATTATTACCACGTGTGATATTAATAATGCCACGAGCCTCTCTGGGACTGAAAGTATCAGCCGTTGTAATCCATGCCTGCAAAGATTGGAAATGCAGATCAAATGCACATGCTGAAGATGTGAGCTGCCTGATCTCCAGACATATTATTGTTGTTACATCAGTGACAAACAATGTTCCCTCTATGCTGCGCGCGTAAGTGGCCACGCACTTCTTACGTCGCAACCGCACAGAAGAAAAAAATATGCAGAGCACAGGACAGATGCAAAAATTAGTTGAGAAAGTCATTTGACTGAATTCTAGTAAATGCAAAATAGTTGCAATGCTCGGGCAAACCGCTATAGAGTTGTTTTCACTATAGAGTTAGAACCGGTGAATGTGGTTTACAGGTTTCATAGAAAGAGAATGATGAAATCAAATACTTTAATGGTTGCGGACGTAATAGCACAACACGAGAGCCTACGCAAACGCAATGACATGTGAAATAAAATGTCATCATGTTTTAAAGAAAAGTGGCTTGATTAAGTGGTGGAAACAGTGGATGATGAGCACAGTACGGTAACAAAACTCCAAGACATTTACAATCGCACACAGGTGTAGTGTGCAAACTCGACTACTAAGGGGTGTTTAGATAATTATATAAGAATTACATGTTCACGTTTTTTGAAAATCTTCAGTTTACAGATCTCAGTTTAAATGCTTCAGTTTGTTTTCTATTCTATTCTATCGGTTTAAATCAGTATTTCCCAACCTTTCTTTAGTCGCGGCACCCTTTGGAAATTTTAACAAATTTGTGGCACCCTACAAAATTTATTTTGTCACAATATTTGAATTTCTAACTTCGATATGCTACTTTGAAAAGAATAGATATTCGGTACAGCAGGGAAGAACTGCAGAATATACTGTCATACAGATATTTTTTATATTATAAAAAAAATGTGTCCATCAATGGTGGCAATCAGTAGGCTAATTTCTAATGAAAAGACCAATTTATAGGACAGATTTTAATGTAGGCTTTTATATAAAAACATTGTGAAATAGCTAGTTATAATGGTAATTAAACAAAGTTTTGTTCACTCAGTGTATTTTTGATTTTACAGTGGGGTAATTTTGTTGCAGTGGCACGAGATAGCTTGATTTAAAACTTTGAATTGAATAAAAAATTACAAGGAGGCTAAGCAGTTAATAATAAAATAAGAACAAATAAAGAAATTACTAATGATAGCGCAAATCAAAAATAACGATAGGCCAACAAATGAAATAAATTGCTTAGGGTGTTAATTTACCAATTATCCAAATAATGTTTAATCCTAGAAAGCTATTATTATCAGAGGACACGTGAGCATAAGCAGATCAATGAATGAGAGGGCAGCGTTACCAGAGTTGCCCATTTACCCCACCTTGTTACAACACAGTAGGGCTATTGCAAACAGAAACAATACTGTACTACATAGATGTTTCCTGTCAGCTTGATTTTTGAGTGGACTTTGCTGTTCCGATGAGCATGAATGCTATATGAGTGGAGCACTCACATGGGCCATGAGCGACTAAGCGGAGCGCATAGAGCGGGATAATACGCAGAGTGTCACACCACGTGAACGTGAATCCTGAGTGGTGAACTAATTTTCAGCAGCCGGAATTTCAGTGCATCTCTAATTATTGGTGACATCAGAAATGGATATTATATAATAGCTTTTTTGAATATTTTAGCAATTTAAAAATATAAAAAATTTATTTTTTACACGGCACCCTGGTTGGGAAACACTGGTTTAAATGCTTAAGTTTGTTTTTATATTATATTATATAATGTTATAATTATATTATAAACCTAATAAATAATTGACCTCAAAAAGGGAATTCATGAGTAATATCTGCTTAATTTTTTTCATATTATTTTATTATAAAGAATTGAACTGTTCTGCGTGAATTTTTATAAAAAACATTTATAATAGAATTTCTTGGTAACAGCACTGTAAAAAAAAGTTCTCACAGGTAACCTAAAATGTGCATCATTTAGTTACATCAAGGGTCAAATCAAATATAAACAGCACATTAACGTTAAAAGTTACACACTTTTTTGTGTGCACGCTGTACAGGTCTGATATAAAGAATGTTTTTGCTCAGGTGGCCGAAATGTCCACCCAATAGAGAAAAGGTTTGCTCAGCAAGAAAAAAAAAATTAGAGGGAACATTGGTGACAAATCCTAAAGTTATTATCATACAGCTCTCTTTAGACACTAAAACCCCTGCTGATGACTTCAATGAAAGGCACAGAGCAGAAAATGAAAGAGACACATTTATGATTAACCATTTAATGCCAATCTCTCCAGGAAAGTTCAATACACGCATTTAATTTCAAAATGCCATTAGATGAAGCCTGAAGGGCTCTATAAAATCTTAAGATTAAAACACTATCTTCTTTTAATCTCCTTTAGGGCTTTTAAAGAGAAGAAGAGAGAAAAACCTCTTTCCTATGTTTTTGCATTTGCTTCACCCAACCAAATCCGTCCCTAAAGCTCAACACAATCTTCTCCCGGTTTAATTACTACCAATTAGTGATTGCACTGTTCCATAATGCCTATGCCTTCCTACTGTAATCTGTGGGCTTTGTGGTATATTTCCCAATGCAGTCACTGGAGAGCAACGTGAATGATTCCACTGAGAGAGATAATCAGGCACAACTAATTCAGACCTATTGCTGTACTGCTGCAAACCTACAACCCTGATAAATAACAACAATAAAGAACAGAAATGGACATGGATGCAGTGAGAGGGAATCTCTTTTTTACGGAATCTCTTCTGAGCAGTTGCATCCCTTGATAACCACCCACACTTAATGTCCCTACTGTCTCTGGAGTGGCTTTTTTGGGCTGCAGCCTCTGCTAATAATGCTCATCCGGGGCTTGCTTTATTGCTTAAAGGGGTCATGAACTGCCTTTTTTATCTTGTACTATTCTCTGAGGTCCACTTATAATAATACTATCAAGATTTTTACATCCAAAAACATCATAATTTAGAGGTAATAGGCTATTTTCCGTCCTATTTTGACCCCCTCATCGGAATGCTCTGCTTGAATAGGCGTGGCGGTTTGTAGACTCGGAAGCAAATGAACACTGCTATGATTGGCTAACATGTTTGACAGCCTACATCCTTCACAGGTGGACGCTGCTGTGATTTAGATTAAAAACTCATGAATACTCAGTACATATCAAACAAACTGTCATAACAGACAAAGCAATAGTGGCCACGTAATAAAAACAGTTACTAACACTCGTGTGTGATGCAACATTACTGTCGGATCCAATAAAGTTGGCAGAAATCGAATTGAAGTGAACCAAGGACCAAGTTCTAACTGATGTGGTCTGGATCTTCATTAAAAATAAAGTTTTCCACAGCTTGGCACTGCACAGTGTCTTGTTGTCTTCAGAGCCGTCTTTATCTTTTGGTTTCTGCATAGACTAATGCCTCTCTCGTTATTAACCCACTACTAGGGTTGTGACGGTGAGGAAATTTTCCCACCGGTTAATCGACGTGTGACAACACCGGTAATACCGGTATCACCGTGGGGGCGGGGGCGTTCCCTCTTTTCCTATTTCCTTCACTTTTAAATAGCTTGTAAAAGCAGCGTGCGCATTTTACTTTCACTTTGAAATAGCGGCAATTCGGCGTAAAGCAATTGTTCATTTTTAGTTTGTTTGAATTTTCCCTCTTTTCCGTTGCTTTTAAATAGCTTAAAAGCGCCTTGCACATTTTACTTTCACTTTTTAATTAGCGGCAGTTAGGTGTCAATTGCTTGAATGCAACAACAAAATACAACGTCAAACTCACTTTAGCATATATATATAAAACATAGAACTTTTATTAACAAGACAAATACAAATACACCATGCTATAGGGCAGGCTATGCCTAATATAAAATAACAAATAACAAACAGGCGCTTTTGCATTTCGTTTCGAAACTAAATCATCTGCGATCGTTTTGTCTGTCTCACCTCACTCTTCTGGTCAGTCAGCTCGACTCACTCTCCTCACTGGATAAATTAAATCTGTGATGCGACTGTCGTTCGGCACACTGCACTGAGCAGCCGCGTTCAGTTTTTAATTGTAGTGTCTGTTCTTTTACTGAACTAAATTATTTTTATTTCTATAAAAAATCAAAACAACGGTGGGGGTCGGTGCCGCGGTGACGTAACCGGTGTTGCGGCTTAACACCGGTATCACTGTCAACACCATCTATCGCGGCAAGCCTACCCACTACATGTGCAAATTAATGGGCTGGGCTAAACAGGCAGTAATGTAGAAGCAGGCATTGATCTTCTTATGTGGAGGCGGTGTTTAGCCACACTATTACGTCATAAAGTGGCACATTCCACAACCTGTCTTTTTGGCAGATTGGCTTCCATATAAGCTGTTTTTAGACTAACGAGAAAGTTTTGAGTTCTGAAACTCATGTCTAGTTCATACTACAGGATTTTAAGCCAGATTTAAACCCAATTAGCAAGTTAACGAGCTCGCCGACAGGTCGGGCTGTGATCGGGGGGATATCAGGGGGTGATCAGCGCTCACCAATCTTTGTGTGTGAACTACTCAACGATGCATCAAAGAGGCTCGCTGACGCATTGCGCCGATGTTCCGCTGACACCAAACGAATATCTAGCATGCAAAATATCTGGACCGGTCGGCCGACTCGACATCACATGGTGTCAGGTGTCGCGACGAGCTACAGCGAATGAGAGATCAAAGCATGGGTTGAGGTCAGCGGAAAAAAAACTGCAGCAGCAACATGGCTTTAAGAAAAGTTTGGAGACAAGAAATCGAGCAAAATTTTTCAGAACAAATCATCACGCAAACAGCTTGCAGCACCAATTTTTTCCCGATGTCCATTTTCAAATAAACAACTCCTGTTTCACTTGTTTAGCATCATTCCCGTTCAACTTCTCGCATGTGTTTTCATGAGAAAACGTAGTTTGGGGTCCGGATAGAGTCGTTGGGTGACAGAGTAGTCAGCTAATGTAGTGTGTGACCCCCTGTTGCGCATCATTTACGTAGCGTCGTGTAGTGTGAACACCACAAAGACTTCAAGACAGACAGCAAGTCATGCAGTCTGAACAGCACAGCGATCTGCCGACGTTTTAAGTTGTGTAGTGTTAACTAGGCTTTACAGGATGTTTTTATAGTAGAGTCATGGCCAAAAGTTTTGGCAGTGACAAATTGTGTTATGCAAAGTTTGCTGCTTAAGCTGTTGTGGTGTTCATTCACATTATTTCTAGATTATTGTGTAGAGTGATCAGATGCATTTTAAATTGTTAAAAGTTTAATTGGCCAAAAAATGAACTTTCACAAAAAGACTAATTTCACAGTTTTTTTTGATCCTGACACAAAATGACCAGCTAACATTAACTGACTAATCATATCAGCAGCACATGTGAAAGTGTGAATGAGTACTAGTCAGATGAAATCACTATCATACTAAATAGACTGTAAGAGCAGACTGATTGCTATAAAAGGAGGGAAGAAGCGCTTCCAATCATTTTGTTCTTGTTAGCAATGGTTACCTCCAAAGAAAAACGTGCAGCCATCATCGCTTTGCATCAAAATGGCCTCACATGCAAGGAAATTGCTACAAACAATATTGCACCTGAAAGAACTATTTACCGGATCATCAAGAACTTCAAGGAGAGAGGTTCGACTGCAGTGAAGAAGTCTTCAGGACGTCCCAGAGAGTCCAGCAAGCGCTAGGACCGTCTCCTCCTGAGGAGTCAGCTATGGAATCGTGTCAGCACCAGTGCAGAGCTTGCTCAGGAATGGAAACAGGTTGGTGTGAGAACATCTGCACACACACTGAGGCCAAGACTTTTGGACAACGGCCTGGTGTCAAGAAGGGCAGCAAAGAAGCCACTTCTCTCCAAGAAAAACATCAAGGACAGACTGGAATTCTGCAGGAAGTACAAGGATTGGACAGCAGAAGACTGGTGCAAAGTTATTTTCTCTGATGAAGCTCCCTTCCGACTGTTTGGGACATCTGGGAAAATTGATTGTTCGGAGAAGAAAAATGTGAACACTTGTGCCAACAGTGAAGCATCCTGAGACCATCCATGTGCGGGGTTGCTTTTCAACCAAAGGAGTGGGCTGGGCTCTCTCATAATTCTGCCCATAAAACACTGCCATGAATAAAGAATGATATCAAGATGTCCTGAAAGAGCGACTTCTTCCAACGATCCATGAGCAATTTGGT